GGCAGGGACGGGCTACCGGGCCAGGGCGGGTCCTGCCCACGTGGCGGGAGCTATGGAAGTAGAGAGCCAGGGCACAGCAGCCTTGCACACCAGCCCCAGCCCCACTGGGACAGTGCCACACTTCCTGCCTAGGTGCAGGTGGGGTCCGATCCTGCCCCGTCCTGCTGGAGCCAGCCTGCTCACCCCCTGCCACGGGACTGAGAGTGGGTGGCAGGGGGTGGCCAGGCTGGATCAGACCCCCCAACACCCTCTGGTTCTCCTCATGCATATGTGTCCAGCTGAGCGCAGCAAAACCATGCGGCCCAATGGAAATCAGTGAGAGCCAGGCATCTAAATACTTTTGAGGAGCTGGGCCTACGTAGCTCTCCTCGTACACACACACACATACTCTGAACACAGAATCGTGTTAAAACACGCTGCTCAGGCAATGTGCTGTCACGGGCACAGAGCACATCCTTGGAAAGCCACCTCATTCTCACTGGTCATTATTTACCATCATTGCTTCTCAGCGCCCTCTGCATGAAAAACGGAGCTCTTATTGCTCCTTCGCTGCCTATATGGAGCTATGGTTTCCCATGCATGGAGCCATAGAGGATAGGTCCATCAATGACTATTAGGCAAGATGATTAGGGATACAGTACCATGCTCTGGCTGTCTCTAGCCAAAAGCTGGTAGTGGATAATAACAGGATGGATCACTTGATGATTGCCTGTTCTGTTCATTCCCTCTGAAGCACCTGGAATTAGTCACTGTCGGAAGACAGGATACTGGGCTAGATGGATCATTGGTCTTACCCAGTATGACCGTTCTTATGTTCATAAACATCCACAGAAATGTGTCACACACCCACTCAGTCACTGATACTTGGCGAACAGCTAGTCTGACAGTAAATGTGGCCTGACAGGGACATAGTTGCACCAAGTTCCGTATGTCAAAATGACCACACACCAGCTGGAAAACCATTATCCTTGCTCCACAGATTATTAAGGCCAGGAGGGACAATTATGATCATTTAGTTTGACACCATATCATACAGCTCAGAGGACTTCATCCAATAATTCATCTTCATTGCAGGAGGAAGAGGAATATGCAGCAGGGGCCTGTATTTTCCAGCTGCACATTTCGACTGATGTATGCCCTGGCTGACCAACAAAAGGCTGTTCTACTCAAGGATTCCTTGTCCAGGATTGGCCCTTAAGTTTGTTAAGTTACTGAGCAGAGCAAGAGGAAACTTGGTCTTGCAGTGAAGACACTGGACTGGGAGTCAGGAAATGTTTCAATTCCTGGCTCTGCCTTAGACAACCTGCATAACCTTGCGCAAATCAGGCTGTGTCTGCCCTGGAAAACTGCACCATTGCTAGCTGAACCAGTAAAAGAGCACTGTTGTAGGTATCAACCTTGCAGTGTACTGTCACTACATAATCTGCTTTGGGAGACAGATGGTTGCAGTTTTGACCCACATCCATCATAACACTATACTACACTGTTGCAATCACAGTGCTCTGTGAGTATTTATTCCACACTTCCTGCTACAGCTCCCAGAAGCAGTGGGGTTCATTTAACCTTTTGAGGACACAGTGAGAACTGGGAGAGAAACAGCCTAACTCTCAAAATTCCCTGGGAACTCTTATCTGTTTCTTGGTGTCAGCGTCTTTTCAAGCCATTATCTCAAAATGGGAGCCAGGGTGAATGTTCAGTTGCTCACTAATTGTTCAGAAAAAAAATTAGATTTCTGCTAATTTTTTAAAAGCCACCCTGAAGTGCCTGAGGCGGCATTCGCAAGGTGTCATAGACCCAGAAACTGAGGTCACACTGCTCACTTGTAGGGACTGGTCAGGCTCCCAGAATCACTGCTGGAGCCGCTGGTGTGCCACACTGATGGCTAATGTCTGCCAGGTGGGGCACTGCTTTTGAGTGTGGACAGTGCCCATAGACAGATGGGACCATGTTCTTCTTGAGATCTGGGATGACAGCAGCTTGCCCTGACATTACACCCCCAGAGCATCTGGATGAGAGCCCCATGGAAAAGTGCTATGTGTGCTGCTAAGAACCTGGTACATTTAGTAACATACCCAGTACCAGTCCTCGAAGAGGGATGCTGGACAATACAGGCCACTGGAGCCAAACACGTATCTTAATGGACTTCTTTATTCTGTAGATCCATACAGCCAGGTCACTTGCAGTGACCAATATTCTGCTGAGCTCAGCCATTTCTACAGGCCCTACCTCTGCATTTTTAGTTTAAATATAAGAACCACATTTTGCCTTTCAGCTCAGAATCTCAAAACTACATCTAAACACTCATAATTAAGGGATGCGCTAGTCCCAGTTTGTGGACTTTTTTAACTATGTTGAGTTAAATCAGTGTAACCCCCTCAGTCCTGTCCACAAAACATTTGCCAGATAGATTACAACACAACCAGCTCAAAGCATCTTAAAGGTGTTAAACTGCTGGAGGGGGTTCAAGGATGTTCAGCTAACTCGACTGAAAAATTCACCTTTTTTGTCAGTGTAGGCAGGCCCATAGTGTGGACACTCTTAAACTGAGTTAATTTAATCAGTTTAGAAGCCAGCTGACTTAAAGCATGCACAAAATATGTGTAGACCAGGCTCACAACCCCACTCCTATCAGATCCATTTCACAGATGGATACAGTGATGAATGATAATGAGGTTTGTCTGTGGGTATGTTCACACTGTGTTTTCCGTAACTATGCCAGCCTAACCCCCTAGTGTAGATGCAGACTACAGTGATGGAAGGGGGTTTTCCATTGGTGAGCGAACACCACCTCCCTGAACAACACTAGCTTCATCGACGGAAGCATTCTTCTGTCAACATAGCGGCATCTATGCTGGGGGTTAGATCAGCATAGCTGTGGTGCTCAGGGGGTGTTTTTTCATACCTCTGACCCATGCGTCTATAGCGACCTAACTTTTAAGTGTAGATCAGGCCTGAGGTCGTGCACTGAGTCTGCAACAGAGTTTGGTAACACAACCCAGGAGCCCCAGCATCAATCCCGCACTCTACAAATCTGTCCATCCCACAGGCTCCCCTCTTTAGCCCCACAGAAAGCCCACCAGAGTTCTGGTCCATCCTAACTAAAGCTACTGAGTTGTCAGATTTCAGAATGGTAGCCGTATTAGTCTGTATCAGCAAAAACAACGAGGAATACTTGTGGCATCTTATAGACTAACAAATTTATTTGGGCATAAGCTTTCGTGGGCTAAAACCCACTTCATCAGATGCATGGAGTGGAAAATACAGGAGAAAGATGTATATAGCAGTACATGAAAAGGTGGGAGTTGCCTTACCAAGTGGGGAGTCAAGACAATTCAATTAAAGTGAGATTCTGTGTGGACTCCTCCTGAAGGTCCTAACAACAGACTGGACTTCTACATAAAGTGCTTCCGCCAACATGCACGGGCTGAAATTGTGGAAAAGCAGCATCACTTGCCCCATAACCTCAGCCATGCAGAACACAATGCCATCCACAGCCTCAGAAACAACTCTGACATCATAATCAAAAAGGCTGACAAAGGAGGTGCTGTCGTCATCCTGCATAGGTCGGAATATGAACGAGAGGCTGCTAGGCAACTCTCTGACACCACATTCTACAGGCCATTACCCTCTGATCCCACTGAGGGTTACCAAAAGAAACTACACCATCTGCTCAGGAAACTCCCTGAAAAAACACAAGAACAAATCTACACAGACACCCCCCTAGAACCCCGACCAGGGGTATTCGATCTGCTACCCAAGATCCATAAACCTGGAAATCCTGGATGCCCCATCATCTCAGGTTTGGCACCCTGACAGCAGGATTGTCTGGCTATGTAGACTCTCTCCTCAGGCCCTACGCTACCAACACTCCCAGCTATCTTTGAAACACCACTGACTTCCTGAGGAAACTACAATCCATCAGTGATCTTCCAGAAAACACCATCGTAGCCACTATGGATGTAGAAGCACTCTACACCAACATTCCACACAAAGATGGACTACACACCGTCAGGAACAGTATCCCTGATAATGTCATGGCAAATCTGGTGGCTGAACTTTGTGACTTTGTCCTCACCCACAACTATTTCACATTTGGGGACAATGTATACCTTCAAGTCAGCGGCACTGCTATGGGTACCCACATGGCCCCACAGTATGCCAACATTTTTATGGCTGACTTAGAACAACGCTTCCTCAGCTCTCGTCCCCTAATACCCCTACTCTACTTGCGCTACATTGATGACATCATCATTTGGACCCGTGGGAAAGAGGCCCTTGAGGAATTCCACCAGGATTTCAACAATCTCCACCCCACCATCAACCTCAGCCTGGACCAGTCCACACAAGAGATCCACTTCCTGGACACTACAGTGCAAATAAGCAATGGTCACATAAACACCACCCTATACTGAAAACTTACAGACCGCTACACTTACCTACATGCCTCCAGCTTTCATCCAGACCACATCACACAAGCCATTATCTACAGCCAAGCACTAAGATACAACCACAATTGCTCCAATCCCTCAGACAGAGACAAACACCTACAGGATCTCTATCAAGCGTTCTTAAAACTACAATACCCACCTGGTGAAGTGAAGAAACAGATTGACAGAGCCAGAAGAGTTCCCAGAAGTCACCTACTACAGGACAGGCCCAACAAAGAAAGTAACAGAATGCCACTAGCCGTCACTTTCAGCCCCCAATTAAAACCTCTCCAGTGCATCTTCTTGTTAACTGTTTGAAATGAGCCACCCTGATTACCACTACAAAAATTATTTTTTCATCCTGTTGATAATAGCCCACTTTAATTGAATTGTCTCGACCCAGCATTTGGTAAGGCAACTCCCATCTTTTCAGGTACTGCTATATATATCTTCCTACTGTATTTTCCACTCCATGCATCTGATGAAGTGGGTTTTAGCCCACAAAAGCTTATGCCCAAATAAATTTGTTAGACTATAAGGTGGCACAAGTACTCCTCATTGTTGTTGTTTTTTTAGTTGTCAGAGTACAGTACTGTTTTCAGTATCTGTGCTGTCAGGCTGTAAAGTTCCACGGGAGACAGACCAATCTCTGTCACCTTTGTCACCTTTTTCCAGCTTGTCCTCGTCCATCCCACCATGAACGCAAGTCGACGCCACACCATTCCATTTTGTTGCGAGCACGTTCTTTACATTTCTGGCCGAAGGGGTCTAACAGATTCTTTTGTTACTGCCAAAGCCAGTGTCCATTGTTCCTGTGAGGCTGGGCTGGGTTTGTCTGCCTCTCTGTTCTTGGAGAGTTTTTGCATGGGCTTTCTTTACGCCATGAGGATACATTTTCAGCCTCATAACCATATACATGAAATTATAACCTATAACCTTACTATAACATTACTGTAACAATTACTATAACAACCATGGTCAGTGCATCATGAGCCTTCCAAAGACACCCAACATGATAAAGTTTGCATTGGATACAACAGAATCATTTTATAAATATGAACATTAGGGTGTAGGGTGTGTGTCCGTCTCCGTCCGTCCCCCCCCCGAAGTACAGAGCATCACACCCTCAGTTTGAACCAGACTTGTGAAATTGGCAATTACAGGGATCACAGAAAAAGAAGATCTTGAATGGATGAGGTGGAAACCTGGGTGGATCAAAAGGACCATTCCTCCACAAATCGATTAGCAGAGGACCATACAGAATGAGCCACCATGACTGGCAACCTCCTGTGATGGAGATGCCACCAAAGAAAAAGAAAAAGGAATTCACTGTTGATTGCTGAATTTCCTGGCTTTTTGAGTTTAAATCCCAATCTTAACTATCGACTGATGAAGGCTTTTATTAATGAGTGTCCATGTTATTTTCTAAGGTAAGAGAAACCAGAGCAGGAGCCGGGAGAGCTGAGACCTTGCATATATCTAAGGCCTTGTCTAGACTGCCAAGGTTTTTTGCCAAAAGGCAGCTTTTGGCGACAAAACAGTGGACGTGTATACACTGCAATGCCACCTTTGGTGACAAAACTCCTCAGTTTCGGTGACAAAATAAAACCACCTCAACAAGAGTCATAAGGCTTTTTACGCACAAGTTTTGTCACCAAAGTGCCAGTGTAGACAATATGCTTGATTTTTTTCGCTGTAATTGGCGTCCAGAAGGTGTCCCACAATGCCCATCATGACTGCTGTGGTCAGCAATTCCAACTCTGCTGCCCTGAAGCCAGATAAGCAACTGTCCGTCCCTCTTCCTTTAAAGCCCCGGGAGTTTTTGAAATTCCACTTCCTGTTTGCTCATCTTCCCAGCTGACCATGGTGGCTCCATGCAGCAAACGCTCTCCCGCTTGGACTAATGGGGACCTGACGGATCTGCTCAGTATTTGTGGAGAGGAGGCTGTGCAGTCCCAGCACTCCAGCCATAGGAATTTCGATACTTATGTGCAGATTTCTCGAAGTGTGCGCAAAAAGGACGATGAGTGGGACACACTGCAGTGCATAGCAAAGATCAAGGAGATGAGGCAGGTGTAACAGAAGGCAAGGAAGGCCTATCATTTTTATAAGGAGTTGGATGCTATCCTCGGCTACGACCCCACCTCCACAGCCAAGAGCCCCATAGATACTTCGGCGGGGCTGGAGCCGGCAGAAAGTGGACCTAGCTCTGAGGACCAAGTAATTGATGAAGAGGTGGAGGAGGATGTAGAGACCATGCAGGATTGCCCAGTGGTTCGTCCAGTCAGGAGCTGTTCTCCACCCCAGGGGTGTCTAGCCAGTCTTGGCAGTTGCAATTCGGCAAGCAAGAAGCAGGAGAGGAGACCACAGGTAAGTGGTTTTGCTTTGTGAAGTGCGGAGGTGGGTTGAGGCCATAGACATATACAAGGCTGGCTGTGTTTCTGTGTGCTGGACATTTCCCCATGAAGCTAAACACTATGGCAGAATAAGGTGTTGATGCACACTGAGATTTCACTGGAATCCTCCAGAGAGATCTCTAGGAAACTTTCCTGGATGCACTTGCCAATCCTCTGCCAGAGGTTCCTTGGCAGAGCTACTTGTTCCTTCCCCCATTGAAGGAAATTTTCCTGAACCATTCTGCAATCACTTGCGCAGGGACCAAAGCAGTACATAGGCAAGCAGCATAGGGACTGGGGTGGAAGCTGCAAGTGTGTAGTAGATGCACTCTTTCTTCCGTCTTACCCTCAGGAATGAGATATCTGCCATAATGACCCCTGCCTGTGGAAAAGGGTAGGAAAATTTAGAATATTGTTCCTAGTCAACTGCACCACAACTCTTTCATATTGATTATCTCCCCATGTACAATGCTCCCCACCCCAGGGTAAACTCACCATGCTTGGGGTGTTTACCGGCATGTGTGCTTGTCAAGGGTCAGTGAGAAAGTGATTGGTATATGTGACGAAGCGGGACTGTTCTTAATGTTTCCTCTGAATATTGTGGGGGTACCTCAATTTCCCCTATACAGACTCCTGTCCCCGACCAGACGAGGGTCTTCACGATCAGGTTCCCCATCCAGGGATCGGAGACGGAAGGGATTGGAGCTGAGTCCAAGAGAGCAAGAGGACTGTGAGAGACAGCAAGAGCCAGAGAAAGAGCTGCAGGAGAAGCAGCAGCAGCATGAACTGGCGATGGTGGAGCGGAGAGGCATAGGGGACCTCCCAGGGGTGAGTGAGGATAGACCCCGGGGTGCCAGTTCCACAGGGAACCTCGATACTAAATTGCTGCCCCTCATTAAGGAGGGAGGGGATGTGGATGCCCACCTCACTGCCTTTGAGCAGGCTGGCGATTTGAACCAGGGGGATCCTGCGGAAAAGCCCCGGTGTCTAGCTCCCTTGCTGGGTCCCAAGGCCATAGACTCCGTCAGCCAGATTGGGGGGGGGGGGAGGTGGACAGGCTCCCACTCCTGGTCCCAACCTATATATCTGTGTGGAGTTTCCTGGGGTCAAGCCCCTCGGACCTCCGGTGGGAGCGGAAGGTGATGGTCAATGGGGAGACATTCCTGGAGTGGTGAGATCCCGGGACAGAGAGAACTGTTGTAATGCCCCTGGTGGTGCAGCCTCAGATGCTGAGGGGCTGTGTGAGCTGGGTGAGGGTCCCAGGGATGAAGCCCCTCACCCTGCCTATGGCCCAGATCCCTGTGCAGACCCAGGAGGGGTGGGGCTGGCTGGTCATTGGGGTTCTCCAGGATATCAGCTGGGAGACCCTGTTGGGGAGTGACTGTGTCTCTTTGGGACAGGATCCAAGCCCTGCTCCTGTAACGGCCGAGGGTTTGAATTTGAATCCAGGGAATCGGCTGAGAGGGAAATGGTCAATGAAAATGCAGATGACCTGGCTGGCAGCGGAGAGGAGCTGCTAGGCTTGGGCTACCTGCCTGCCTGTAACCAGACCCCTGGGGCTGGGTGGGACAGAGAGATGCTCCCTGTCCCCTTGCACACTGGAGAGGGGGCTCAGGGGGCTCACACTAGCTCTGATGCAGTGAGGAAAGCAGCAAGCTCGCTGCCTACCCCCACTGGGACAGGAAGGGCAGCGCTGAGCACAGTGGGAGCTGAGACCCCAGCTGAGTGCGGGGAGACACAGGCAGGGCAGGTTATCTGTTGGGAGTGGCAAGGTGCTTGGTAAGGAAAGTTTGGATGAGCCTAGGCAGCCTTGTGAGCTGATGGCTTTGTCTAGTCAGCAGTGTGGGAAGGCGAGGATAGTGGAAGATGAGTGTCCCTGTACCTTACCTGTTACCTGGGTGGAGAATTGTGACAGTGAAGGGAATGTGCCTGTGTCTATCAGGGGTATTGACTTGCCTATGGAGGGAGCTACCCTGGTCTCCAAGCAGTTGTCTGTGAACAGCCTTGTGTGCTGGGACAAGGGGAAGGAGATCCCAAGCTGTGTGTCTGGTAAAGAAGAAAATGTGTCCAACTCTTCTTTGTCTGTGGAGCAGACAGAAGGGGTCTTTCAGCCTGTGATGGTTGAGAATAGTGCAGTTGTCTCAGAGTTGGTTCTGGATTCAGCTAAAGCCCAGGAAGGGAATGGTCCTAAGTCTGTGTTTGCTAGGGAGAATGGCCCTGTAACTAGGTCGCATCCAGTTAGTGTCTATGTAAAATTCCAGAGACCAGACAATTCTGGTGCTTGTATTTTGCCTGTTGCTAGTGTGTGGCTGGGAAAGGGTGTAGCAACTCTGTCTGATCAGGGTGAGATCCTAGCCAGGGCACAAGGAGAGCATAAAGGTGATTTGATTGTGTTACCCATTGAGGGTGTGGAAACCTGTAGGAAGAAGGAAAAGATTCCTGAACTTTGTGTGGCAAAGGGAAGGAGAATGCTTCTAACCTTTTATCTAGGAAGTCTGTAAGTTTGCCTGAAAGGGGATTGTGTAGGAATCCACCTGATGGGCCAGAGGTGATTCTGGATGTAAGTGAGACCCAGAAAGAGTCTGTTGTTGCTCAGGAAAGTGTTCCTCTACAGCAAGCCCTAGGTAAAGAGGGTAAGGGCAGAATTTCTGTGAAGGGTGAATTGTTGCATAGAAAAGCCCCTGGGGAAAGGAATCCTCATGGTAGTCTTTGCAAGCAGTTTACTGCAACAGAAGGGTGTGAAAGTGATTTAATCAAGAAAGTTTCAGTTCCTAACAGCCAGAAGTTTTCTGTTGTGAATGAAGCCACTGACTTTCCTGTTGAAAGATCCAGTGTGGATAGCCTTGAGAAGGTCTCAGATGGCGTGAAAGCTGTTAAGAAAGTTAAACAGTCCTATAACCAAGTGGCTCTGTTTGGCCAGCTTGTTGGGGAGACAAGGTTGTTGAGAAAGGAATGTCTCCATGCTAGTTCTGTAAGTGAACAGTATGTGGCCCAGGTCAAGATGGGGGCTCTTAACCAAGAGAGCCCGAATTGTAGCCCTCCAGACTGGAGCTCTGGGAGAAGACCCGATCCCAGTTTGACCCCTGGGGGTTTTGGGGTGGCAAAAGGACACGGGCCGCATAAACCTTCCCACATGTGGCATGCAAGTGCTATCGACCACCCCCAACCTAAGGGAGGGCATGAAACTGGAAGGGCGTAAAACTGGAATGGCCTGGTGTAACTCCCACCAAGGAATGGGAGAGATGCTGGGGCATCCATGGGAACGTTGGTGGGTTCAAACTTCTCCAGGTCACCGGCTAAAGTGAGCCCACTCAGTTCGGTCTCGAAGGGGGGAGAGATGTGACGAAGCGGGACTGTTCTTAATGTTTCCTCTGAATATTGTGGAGGTGCCTCAGTTTCTCCTATGCAGTTCTTTAGTATCTAGGTGGTGGGATAAAGGATATGTATGATCGTTGCAGAGCCCTAGAGGGCAGGTGTGTGCAGGGGTCTGGACACAGAGAATGGCCAACATCCTGTTTCCTGGCAACTGATGGCCTGGGCCCTTCCCCCTTGCAAGGTGAGAGCTAAAGGGTTGGAGAACAAAGGAATCAGGTGATCTCCTGGCCTGGGAAAGGGACAAAGCCCAGAGGAGGAGGGGCTGGAGAGAGTTTCAGTTTGGGACTGGCTGGGGACATGGGGTGAAATGCAGACGGGGTTGTCTGGCTCACTGCCCCCCAAAATGAACCCGGCTGAGGGGTCCTGTTCTCTGTACCTACAAGCTCTGTTTTAGACCATGTTCCTGTCGTCTCATAAACCTTCTGTTTTACTGGCTGGCTGAGAGTCACGTCTGACTGCGAAGTTGGGGTGCAGGACCTCTGGCTTCCCCAGGACCCCGCCTGGGCGGACTCGCTGTGGGAAGTGCACAGAGGGGCAGAGGATGCTGAATGCTCTGAGGTCAGACCCAGGAAGGTGGAAGTTGTGTGAGCTGTGTGTCCTGAAGACAGTCTGCTCACAGAAAGGAGACTCCCCCAGAGTCCTGACTGGCTTCATAGGGAGCAGTTCCAGAGCATCGCCCGGGGACTCTGTGACAGTATATTTCTAGAGGTGTATTTTACTGTACTGTTTCAATGCTGTGTGTGTGCTTAAGAATCATGCTTCTGTATATTGTTCCTTGTGCTTCTGCAGATGTAACCTTGAAAGGTACTCCTACACACCAGCCGAGCACCTCCACTGGATAAGAAAGTGCCCAAGATGGAGCAAGGATGACATGTTCCAGGAGGTGATGCAATGCTCGGATTCCAAAAACAGGGAACATGGACCCTGGAGGGAAATCGAAAGGCAGGACAGATGAGAAAATGAAGCCTACGCTAGGGACCCAACAGAGAGGATGATTAAAGTTATGGAGAAGCAAACTGAGATGCTACAGTGCCCCATAACACTCCAGACTGAGCAGATGCATGCCTGCTCTCCCCTTCAGCACATTCAGAACTCTTTCCCATGTCCTTCCCAAACTCCACTCACAAGTTCCTTTCCACTGTCTGGGGCTTCTCGCTATCCCATTCACTCCACCTCCACAAATGATAGCTGGACTTACGCATGGTTCTGAAAGTTGGCCCTCCCCTGATACCTCCTCTCCCCACAAGAATTTCTGTGTGTGTGTTTGGTGCTGCAGTGGTTTTGTGCAATAAAAGCAAAATGTTTTGAATGATACAAAGTCTTTATTTGTCTCCCGCAAATTGTGATAGCCGATGGCAGCAACTAATAAACAAGCAGTTAAGTCATTTGCTTACATTGAATCCGAGGCCACAAAAATCACAAGTGCTTCCTTACAAAACTTGATTTCATTAAGCATTGTAGTCCAGAGCATAGCAATATACATTACTGGTTCTCATCTTCAAAGTAAAAAGAATGAGGAGTACTTGTGGCACCTTAGAGACTAACAAATATATTTGAGCATAAGCTTTCATGGGCTAAAGCCCACTTCATCAGATGCATGCAGTGGAAAATACAATAGGAAGATATATATATATACAGAGAACATACAGAGAGAATATATATACATGGGGGTTGCCATACCAACTCTAACGAGACTAATCGATTAAGGTGGGCTATTATCAGCAGGAGAAAAAAACAACTTTTGTAGTGATAATGAGGATGGTCCATTTCAAACAGTTGACAAGAAGTTGAGAGTAACAGTAGGGGGAAAATTAGCATGGGGAAATAGTTCTTACTTTGTGTAATGATTCATCCACTCCCAGTCTTTATTCAAGCCTAATTTAATGGTGTCCAGTTTGCAAATTAATTCCAGTTCTGCAGTTTTTTGTTGGAGTATGTTTTTGATGGTTTTTTGTTGAATAATGGTGACTTTTAGGTCTGTAATTGAGTGTCCAGGGAGGTTGAAGTGGTCTCCGACTGGTTTTTGAATGTTATAATTCTTGACATCTGATTTGTGTCCATTTATTCTTTTGCGTAGAGACTGTCCGGTTTGACCAATGTACACGGCAGATGTGCATTGCTGGCACATGATGTCATATAGCACATTGGTAGATGTACAGGTGAACGAGCACCTGATGGTGTGACTGATGTGATTAGGTCCTATTATGGTTCCCTTGAATAGATATGTGGACAGAGTTGGGAACGGGCTTTGTTGCAAGGATAGGTTCCTGGGTTAGTGTTTTCGTTGTGTGGTGTGTGGTTGCTGGTGAGTATTTGCTTCAGGTTGGGGGACTGTCTGTAAGCGAGGACTGGCCTGTCTCCCAAGATCTGTGAGAGTGAGGGATCGTCTTTCAGGATAGGTTGTAGATCCTTGATGATGCACTGGAAATGTTTTAGTTGGGGGCTGAAGGTGACGGCGTTCTGTCACTTTCGTTGTTGGGCCCGTCCTGTAGTAGGTGACTTCTGGGTACTCTTCTGGCTCTGTCAATCTGTTTCTTCACTTCAGCAGGTGGATATTGTAGTTGTAAGAATGCTTGATAGAGATCTTGTAGGTGTTTGTCTCTGTCTGAGGGATTGGAGCAAATGTGGTTGTGTCTTAGAGCTCGGTTGGAGACAATGGATTGTGTGGTGTGGTCTGGATGAAAGCTGGAGGCATGTAGGTAAGTGTAGCGGTCAGTAGGTTTCCGGTATAGGGTGGTGTTTATGTGACCATCACTTATTAGCACTTTGCCTCAAAGACTCCCTGATTCAAATAGCCTCCCATTGTGCCTCTCTAATAGCCCTGGTGTCTGGCTGCTCAAAATCAGCTGCCAAGTGTTCTTCCTCAGCAGTCCACCCCTGAGGAAACTTTTCACCCTTCCCTTCACAAATATTGTGCCACGTGCAACACGCGGCTATGACCATGGGAATATTATCCTCATTGAGGTCTAGCCTGCCATAAAGGCATTGCCAGTGCACCTTTAATCTGACAAATGCACGTTCCACAGTCATCCTGCACCTACTCAGCCTGTTGTGGAACCACTCCTTACTGCTGTCCAGGTTTCGCGTGTAAGGCTTCATGAGCCATGGGAGTAAGGGGTCTGCCGGGTCTCCCAGGATCACGATGAGCATTTCAAAATCCCCTATAGTAATTTTCTGGTCTGGAAAGAAAGCCTACACTTGCAGCTTTCTGTACAATGCAAAATGTAAAATGTGCTCCCTGCGAACATTCTTTATTAATCATTGAAACTGGTTTGTTTCCACACTCAGGCCTGCTAGTAACTCACTCACATTTGAGCAGCCATGAATCATGAACAAGAAAAAAGCCATGAACCCAGCCAAGGCTCATTTGAACAACTGCTCACAGACAATTTTTCCACAGTGTTCATCCAGCGCTGCATAGCGCTTCCATCCTGCTTTACATTTTCCACGTACTGTGCAGCCGTTAACCAATTCCTTCTCATTCATTAGGAAGCATTATTCCTGTCCACTCTGCTTCTCAAGAGTCCTTCAGAAACTAGTACATGGAGCTGTTGCCCAAAGCAACACAATTGCAGAAGAAGGAGTAGAACTCAGACATCCATGGCATCTAGCGCTGTGGTTGGGATATAGGCCTGACTATATTGCTACAGATAAGAGTTTGTCTCCCCCTGTCTGATGGGTGTGGACCACTGAATTCAGCTATTTGACCATCATTTCCCAGGCTGGTTCATCATCAGTGTTAATCCCAGCTCCTGCAGTGACTTAATACTATTTTAAAACAGGAGTGAAGCAGTCTCTCTGTATGTTAATGAAATGATTGGTTTCAGAGGAACAGCCGTGTTAGTCTGTATTCGCAAAAAGAAAAGGAGTACTTGTGGCACCTTAGAGACTAACCAATTTATTTGAGCATGAGCTTTCGTGAGCCACAGCTCACTTCATCAGATGTGTACGGTACACATCTGATGAAGTGAGCTGTGGCTCACGAAAGCTCATGCTCAAATAAATTGGTTAGTCTCTAAGGTGCCACAAGTACTCCTTTTCTTTTTAATGAAATGATTATTATGCTGCTGCCCCAAGCAGCTGCAGAACGAGACACTGCAGTTTCTCTGCCTCCTGCCCTGGTTTCCTCTCAGTCTAGCTGCTGGGTAGCTAGTTCTAGCCTGTCAGCATCAGGTTTTTGTTGTTGTTCTCTTTGCCAGTTATGGGTAGAACTGTCTTTTGGGCTAGGACTGGCTCTCCAGATTATATATGCAGTGTATGTATATAGATTATGGTACATTTACCACAGTATAAATGTATCATCCTTGTCATCACAATACATTTGCAGAGGGGCTTGTTTTTCACAGCGAGTGCTCGGGGGGTAGGCATTCTCTGCTCCCAGATCTAGCAGCTGAATCCACATCAGCAGGACTGAGGAATGAAATGGAAACTAACGCGGACACCCGCAATATCTTGTGGTACGGACCCGATTAACAGTGTAAGCAGGGGAATTTTCTCTCACATGCCCAGTGTTAAGATGATCACCATGTTCAGGAGGAATTTCTCTTCAGGGATAGGGGCACTTCCCTCCTTCTGGAGCTGTGTTGGTATTACTGAGCACAGCCAATTAGATTGTGTCCAAAATACTAATTACTCTTTGCAAGAAATTTAAAAAAATGTTTTTATTTTTACAGAGCAAGTCCTGGGCAATTCTGCTGGGGCGAGGAAGAGGGAAGGGCAGATTTCAGAGACATGCACCAACAAGAAGCTTCAGTATGGGAGAGAAGGAGTTTGCAGCATCAGCTCTGTGCCTGAGACCATGAATGTGTGTAATGCACTCGTCAGTGTGTGTTATAGGTCTCCCTCTGAGCCTGATCCAAAAAGGTCACAAGCCAGCCCCAGCTGGAGAGCCTGACTTTTTAGCCCAAGCTGAAGCAGCTCACACTTTTAGCACTGGAGGTCAGTGACTGAATGCCAGGTGGTTAGCCAAAGTGACAGGAGTCACGTGAATGATATTGATGATGGGGGATGGGGAAGAGGAAGGGCACAAGAGAAAGATGCGGAACTCCAGTTCTACCCTGTAGACTGTCAGCAGGCAGTGAGCCCTCCAGGAGGAAGGGGAGGGAAAGATGTGAGGTGGAGAGGAGGAACTGTGCAGTGGGTGCCCTGCCCTTGCAGGGGTAGATACTGGCAAGCTCTAGTCCTGCCCAGCTCCTCTCCCTCTGGGATGGTGCTTCAGTGATGCTGTATCTCAAGGATTTGTTAATTGGCACCTAACCCCGACTTGTAACAGTAGCGCTGAGGGAATCTGACATGGGAGCCAGCAAATGCGGCATGTTCTCAGTTCAGGGGGTAGCAAAGCTGCCAAGGTAGCTTTAGGAGCTGGCAGTGTCACACTGGCCTGCTGGGGCAAAGAGGGACTCTTTCGGCTTCTTTTGTTTTTGTGTATCAGCGTTTAGACTTAGCAAACACAACCCAGCACTGTGTGTGTGTGTGGAGTGCCACAGAACACAAAGCATGGTGAGGCTCTCTTCTGAATCCCATGAGCCCGCCTCAGACCATCGCTCCATCACATCTGATAGCCTGCCTGGGGGCTGTGGCCATCCCTCAGAGGCATCTTGGTGAGGAAAACTGGGTCAGTGGTGCCGTGCTGTGCATTGTGGGAAATTCCATCCTGACCCCCACAGTGATGGCGATGTGAATAAGAGCCTGATCCCAAATGTGCTTACTCATGTGAGTAGGGTTTTGCAGGCTCAAGCCCTAAGAGACTCCAGTGGGCAAACAAGCTATGAAACACTGTTTGGAGGGAGTGTTTATGTTTTGGAATGTCCTCTGTGAGGGGGGTAAATTCATCACCGGGGCAAATCCATTGACCATATTGTGTGCCATTAAACAGCTGCTATGTTCCATCCCAGAGGTGGCAGCCGTTCAGTGGCAGTTTTTTCCTGTATAAATTTAGGCCCTGGGCTATACTCTGTGCAGGACCTGAAGGGTTGTGGAGGAGGGCAAAGGTGGCTGTATACTATTTGGGGCTCCCCTCACAGATGCTAGCTGGTCACAGCCCCCAAAGGGCCATTATGCCAGCTGGGGCTTACCAGAGCACAGCAGCACTCTGGCCACCCCCCTCTCCTCCCAGCACAGCCCATGGCAGGGTGGGACTGAGGAGCATCATAGAGTTGGCTGTGTGATCTCTACACCTCGCAGCGCTTCTTCTGTGCCTGGAAATCCTCAGCCCATTGTGCTACAGGGGCAGGGCAAGGGGCCTTAGGGTGGGCTGAACACTGGCAC